CGACACACCTTTACAAGCATATGTCCGAGGTCAATCTGTGAATCAAAGGAGTACCAAGTGCACAAAACCTCAGATGACATACCTCTACAAAGTCTTGTGAAAGGAGGTGGTGTAGGAAGTGCTAAAGAAGCACCATCCAGTGATACCCCCCATCGACCTTTGCGATGACTGCTTAGATCTCGTCCATGCCCATGGAGCTCGTCGTTACCTTCACATCCACAAGAACCATCAAGTGATGATGTATTTTATACTCCACAGACTGAGCGAAAGATTCGTCTTGCAGCATTGCACTGGAAACGTCTTGAGACACTCAAGACTAACAAGTTCTGCGCCACAGAGAAGAGGGCACTGGATGAAATGGAGAGTGCTGCACAGGGAGCAAGGGAGAAAGAGGCAGACCAAATGAGACATGTGGGAGTGTTCAACAAGGTCCTGGCTATCCTGCAAGAGAATCAGTGCACCTTGGCGGAATTTCTTGACTACACCTTTAATCCAAGCATCAGTCATGTATTTGACTGGCGTTGGTGAGGATTCTTCCAGGAAAAGTCCACTGTAGAGCGAATCTTGGGTTACTGGACATCAGCTGGTTATAGCAAAGGTGCAAGGCTTACAATGAAGGAGTGGGTGTTGGGACAGGCAAAGAAGATAGCTGGCCAAGAGGCGTGCACTATCACCGAGTCGGGGCTACTGAAGACAACAAATAAAGAAATAAACGAAAACTTTTTCTTCGATTACAGCATTGCTAGACTCACGCAAAACCTGCGAAGCCTGGCACCTACTTTTTTCTCAATAGCTGATGCATTCTCTACAACGTCTCGGCAGGAAAAGTCTCTTTCCAAGGGATGGGCTGAGAAGAAAAACATTGTGAGCAGCTCCGTGATAGTATCTTCAATCAGAACTTACTCACTATTAGTGTTTGAAAGTCCGGTTAGGTCCTGTTATTGGGTGCCCAGGGGCTCTAACCGAGACCGAGACTGGTTAGCCTTTGTCCCGAAACCTAAAATAACCTAACCGGACCACAACTAACCGGTTACGGTCGGTTATTTGCAGTTACTAACCAGTTAGGACCGAAAAATAAAGAATCGGTTATAACAAGGCAAATATGTTCATATGTATCTTGATAGATATTATTTCTGCATATTCTAGCTTTAAAACGAGCCCAAGAACGCTAAAATCGGTGAAGAATTGACATATTTATGCAATTATCCTTGAAAGTCTACACATTTGAGTGATATTTTAGAGATTTGACTGTAACTTAGTCAAATTTTAAGCGTTTTCAACGTTCTCAAGTGCGTTTTGAAGGTGTATAATAGGGCTGGTTATAACCGGTTATTTAACGGTTAGTTAACCGCAAAATAACCGGTTATTCCATTTTCGAAATCAACTAACCCTAACCGCGGTTAGGTTAGTGTTGCGGTTAGGTCCGGTTATTTTCCGGTTAACTAACCTAACTTTCAAACACTACTCACTATGGATGGCAGATGGAGGGCTCGGCTATCTTGACACTTCTCAAGGCAAGAAGTCAGAAGAATAATTATGCACAGGCTATTCACAGCACATACCTCATGGCCACAGGAGCACAATGCCAGCATTTTACAGTGTTCACCTCACTTGGAATAGGTATCAGCTACCCGAGTGTTATAACACAACTACCGAAAGAGAACAAGGGGGTGAGCAAAGCTTCAGAGGGCGCAATTACACCCAAAAAGAGAAGGTGAACGCCGGGCACCTTGTATCAGCTCTCTCAAGCATGTCGAAAGACTGCCTGCAAGGTCACTGCAACTGGCCTTTTTGTCTCATATTATGTCTCCACCTGCGCCTCCACTCTTGGGGTTGCAACGTTTGATGCCTCTGAGGCCAGTGCTTCCTCTAGCTCCTTCTGCTCTGCCGCTAACAATGTGCCCTCTCTTGGTACGAAACTTCGCAGGCGTCTTGCGTGGTACAGGCCGTCGAGAGGGGTGCCGTCCAAAGTTTCCAGCTTGTATGAGTTTAGGAGGCGCTCAGCAACTCGGTGTGGGGAAGACCACATGGGCGCTAGTTTGCGTTCGGTCCTGAGGGTGGATGCTAGTTTGTTGTCGTATACCTGTACTAGCTGACCTTTCTCGAATTTGATGACTCCTGTCTTTGAAGCCTTGAGCCTGCGGTCGAACGCAGTTTTCCTTTGCACTGCGTGGTGAATGGCCTCCGCGTACCCATCAAGACGTTGTTGCGCCGCGTAGGTCATGTGTGAATCAACATCAGATGGGGGTAAGAAGGAGCAGCTAACCTCGAAGGGTGTCTTGATGG